AACACAACGTCCTGTATTCAAGATGTTTCCCCTTTCTGGGTGAATATTATACCACAAGGGTAAAAGAAAAAAAACCTCAGCCCAGCACCAGCAGCCACACAAAAATCAGGAATACCCACATAAAAGGAAGCTTCCCTTCCTGCCTAACAGTGCAGCTGCTGATACTGTAAACACTCCTGACCTGAAGGACAACACTGATGCAACAGAGTGTCACTGCCTGCAGAACTTGCAAGGATATCTAACTGGAATGAAGAAAAAGAAGATCCCAAAGACTGGAGCTCCCTCTCCAATGCAGTTCCTGCACCACCGGATACAACATGGAAAACACAGCTAGGGAAGACCTGAGCAGTTTATTTGGAAAATGTCAAGGCACAATGCAATCCTAAGCTTTAGGACAGCAGGTCAACTCAGGGGTTTATGTTTCTCAAGGAACTGATGAAGTATGTGGGATAAGTGAAGACAAAGCCTTACAAATGCAAGTGTACTCAGACTGCCACGCCAAATCAGTCACTGGCTGAGTTCTAACAAATCACGGTGCTCAGGTCTGCCAGGGGAGCACAAGAGGTTCACATAAACAAACTTAGAGGAGAAATAAGATCTCTGGCTATGTGTGCAAGAGGCATTGCTATTGCACAGTGAAGAGCTTAGTTAAGATTGAAAGCATTCACTCAGATGCAGCTTGGTTAGGTCTGTATTGACACCTGATCTTCTCATCTTTTCTCTTTCTCTCTAGAAAGTCTAGCCGGGGGGCAGCTTCATGCATCAGTGAATTTGTTTCAATGGTCTTGCATAAGTTTTGGTAAGACATTTCCAACACTCTGATTTGAAAAATATCTGTGACTGAGCATAGCACCTTTGCAAGGCACTAAACATTGTGAACTCCATTCACCCAGTTTTCTTCACCTTTCCTCGCTGCTGATGTGCTTTCAAGTGTGTTTACAGGCATTCATGAAAATTAGAAGAGAAATAGTAACATCTAAAATTAGTGCTGCTCTATAGCACCCTGCCCCCTCCTCACCCTGAGCCAGAGAAAAGGAGATATGTACTTCACCACAGCCCTATGGCATCAGGGTCTCTTCTGGAGCCAGCAGACACAGTCGCCTACACTCATTTTCAGAGTTATGGTAAAATCATGTTTAGATGAAAAGTAAGATTGAGGACCAGTTAGCTGTGTGGCAAGTGCCAGACACAAAGAAGAATGGTAAGTCTTACATTAACCACAAAACAGTTGACTATCATCTCTAACAGGAAAGCACTTGACAAATGTGTTGATTTGCAGCCCATTTGTTGGACTTCAGGACAATTTATTACATGATATCTGGCTCTTACATCTCCCAGCTGAAAGCTGGGTCCTGAACTGCATCATCTCCACAGTGGGAAAACACCACAGGAAGAAGCACCAGTACAACACCCCTACCAGGATGTTGTAAAAGTTATCTAAAGTTACATATTAGCACGCTGCATAATTCAAAACTAGACCAAGAGCAGAGTTTTGATACCAGAGCTATATTTTCATTTGTTGCTAATTGGACTTCTACCAATATTTTAAAAGGTTAAAAAGACAACATCCAAATCAGATAGGATGAAGCATCTTGATGATTCTTTGGTGATGTAAAAGAAAAATCTACCAAAATTTTCTCCTTTTAATAGGTCATCTGGCTTCTGTATTATCATCACTAACCACCTGACTGTTGGAGGTTAATTCTTTAGAAACACGCAGCCAAAGACAATTAACTGGAACAGGGCAGGAAGGGAAGATTTTATTTCTATAGAAATAACTTTTTAGTGACAAGTTCCACGGATGATGACATTTCTGGAGCAGTTACTGGCCCAAGGTAAAATTCTCACAGACCAGGGAAAACATTGATTTAACATCTAGGAAGTACCTTGAGTCTGAAAAGCAATTGCTTTCTTCCTGTGCTTACTAGGGGTAGAACAGTGGAATAAAATAAAGCTTTTGAGACACTTTAGTGAACACCCACATGCTATCAGGGGAATCCCTGCTGTATTTCCCTGGCAAGTTATCCCTTGATGAAAAGAACTCCACTAAACAAGTCTTCTAGGAATAAACGTACATTATACACACAAGAAACCAGAGGTTTCCTTCAGAAAAATAGAGCTGAAGTGCATTAAGAGCTCATAGTCTCAAAATTGAGTGGGTAAAAGGCTTCCAGTTGGTCCTTGCTTTTGGAAAACAGACAAGAGAGCAGTGTGCACCCCATCAGTTGTGCCTGTCAACCATGGCTAAGAGAACACAAGGACCTGTAATATAGGATGCTGCTTGGTTAGTTGTTTCTTTCTCCCTGACATCAGCAGAATCCCTCTTTCAGAAGGAGGTAGACACGCAAAGATGCTGCAGAGGGACCAATTCCCCTTCCTATTCCCTAGCTATCCCTCCCTCCACGGTGGGCACAGGCAGTATGGCTAACCACTCCTAGATAAGACTGCATCCAGTCCTCACAGGCTGAACAAAGACAACTTCCTCTTGCTTTCAAAAGACTGCATGTGCAAAGCAAGCAGTGGTGCTTTTTGTGAACATCGTGATTTGATTTCACTTGAAGGCCTGGACTGTATAAAGTAAAAGAAGAAAAATCCGTTACTCATCAAGTTTTACTTTAAGTGATAGAATGTATCAGTATTAGAAGTAATGACGTTTGCTGGCAACCACCTGATACCAAAGCAAGTATTTTAGATGTCTGCAGCATAACAGAAACAACATTCATGCAAATATTCTATCCTCTTAGTGAAGCCTTAAGAGCCTTGGTACTATACTGGACAGCTCAAGCACAGGAGCTGGTTTTTCAGTATAACTCCTTGATATTTAACAGTGAGGGAACTGTACATTTATTAATGTTCATCATAAATGCCATCCTTTCTCTTTCCATTCCCAATTGATCTCTATTAACAAAGGAAGTAGATTTAGAAAACTTTGTCAAAAATGCTGCTCTAAATGCCAATGAACAATTAATGACATGTGAATGTTTTCCTCTAATCTCAGATTAGCTTTCCTTCCCAAAAGGATATTTCTTTAAATTTATTTATTTTTATTCTAAATATTAAGGCCATGGAAGTTGTCCATGACAAAGGCAGCTAGCTACCTGCCTTCTCATTACAGACCTGAAATTTAGGGGATTAGGGTGTTTTTTATTGCGGGTGGGGTGTGGTTGTTTTTGGGTTTTTTCCCCTTCCCCTAAAATCACGACAGAAATGCAGAATGAAAAGGCAAATCACCACACATCAAGTGCCACACTGGAATATTTCTAGAGTATGAGAAACACGTGCTCTAAAAATATCCCCCAAAAGCATGAGCCGGAATATTGCTGTGATACAAGAGAAAAGCAGTGCTGCACTTCCTTCCGTACCTACCAGGTCTCTTTCCACTACTTGTTTCTCTACCAAAACTTGGTAGCAGGATGTGGCTGAAACCCCCCTCACCTCTCCCCAACATAAACAGTGAGCTCCAGAAGAAAGAGCTGGTCACCATCCAAGTTCTTTTGTTTTGATTTCTCTTTGGAATCAAGACTTGCTATGCTCAATTAAAACCAGACATAAGTCAATTAGCATTACGTGAACTTTAGCAGAGATGACAAAGAGCAAGCTTTGGACACCCTAGCTGCACTACCTATGTTCTCAAGGTAAGAGTCACTGCAGAGCAGAAAATTCCCTGCTGTGCCAGCTTATACTAAGAGCAGCAGGGATTTCTGAAGCAAGCTCAAGAAGTTCCCCAGCAGATATAATTTGCACACAGGGACTTTGTTTTGAAGGCTCACTGTGAGGAATTTATTTCAACCCTTGAGGCACCAGGCTTCAAACCTCTTTCAAATATTTTATTTTGTTAACGGCTGCAGTTGGCACTAAAAAAAAAAAAGGGGGGGGGAGCCAAACACAAAGCTTTACAAAAACAGTGGCTAGAATAAATTGTGATTGAATTAGGTCCAGACTCACTAAGGAATTCCTGAAGTTTAAGGCCACAAATGAAGAGTGTTTACATACTGAGCCTCTTACAAACACACACAAAAAGCAGGGTGAAATGAAGTGTTACTATGTATTCTTAATGGTTTAAACCTTGCATGTGTGTAATACTAATTAGAGATCAGAATCAGAGCTTTCAGCAAATTTTAAAGTGGCATCATGGTACCATGGGATTTCTGGGGTTTTATGATTTATTTTTAAAGAATACTTACAAGTTCTGCGAGGGTGAGTCAGCAGCAGGAATGCACAGATATTTCATTCCCTGTGTAAAGAAGCAAAAAGGTATGAGAAGAAGAAATTGAAGTTAAACATATTTATCCAGCACAGTACAAGTCTTGCTCTAGACTGGTGAAATATTAATGATTTTGAGGAAGCAATACCATTCAGACAAGCAGAGATTATACAGTCAGATTTTAAAACACTTGCTTTCATATTGCTAAGACACCAGTATATAGCTTAGTCATGCTTCTCCCAAGGCTCAATAGTAAGCTTTTAAAAAAAGGAGCATCTTTACTAAAAAGACCTAAACCTTTTTCTGCAAACAAGTGTTCTTGTTTTTCTAGGAAAATGAAGTCGCATCTTCTCCGGCCCTTCCCTTTCTCTGAACAGATGTTACAACCTGAGATTGTTATATGCAGTTTTCTTTTAAACTCACACAATCATTTTTCTTTACCCAGTTGATAAACCAAACAAAATGTATTTCAAAGAAGAAACGTGTTTGTGATATGGATTTTGGGTTTTTATTTTTGGAAACCTTCAAGGACAACCATAAAACACATACTTTTCTTCCACAAAGTTCGCCTCTCTTTCTTAGTCAGCTATCATAATACGTTACAAGAACCGAGTAGGGAAGTTAGATAACCATTTCTGATGTATTAAAAATGTTACTGGATATATTTAAAACAACATATTTATAATCCTACGCTACTGCTTTGCATTGTCAACGCTCATTTCAACTGTCATTTTATTTTCAAAGTTTTCTTTGCTCCTATGACTGTTAAGAAATAGAACGCTTCTGAAAGCACATTTAGCTGACTTCTCAAACAGGACTTCCAAGAATACAATCTGCAGCTCAAGACACACTAAAACTACATTATTCAATAGAATTCTTTTGAATTATCTCAGATGCCAAGTTATGAATTCTTCAGATGCACTTGTAAAGATAATAATTCAAGCAAAAGGGTCATTATAAAATGCACTATAAAATGCACCTTAATCCAGCCTTTTGTAACGATGCACACCCCTGCAATAATCCGCATGTTCAACACCACGTATGGAAAGTTGCACATTTATGTACAAGAGATCCTTTGCCAACAAGGTGGAACACAATCTGCACCTACCAGGCATTTTATTTGCCAGCTGGGGGAAGAAGAGGAATTTTCTCTGCTCAAATGTGTAGCTACCTGAGGCAGCATCATCTACAACCCCTTTGCTTTGCTCGTTCAGAAACCCCTCCTTATTTCCCCTACACACACTTTGTTTCTTCACTTGCAATTGCACAAAGAGCAAGCCCTTTTACAAGAGATTCTGATCTCAGCACCATGCACTCTGTGCACCATACCTCTGCAAGGTGCACAAACTTCACCACTATGTCAGAGAGATTGTGGGAAATAATCAGAAACTCTTAGAAACAGTCAGAAACATTGTGGGAAACCAGGAGGGCTCCACAGCCAAAAGCTGATCCAAAACAACTTGTATAGACACATTCATAGAAAGATAATGTAGCAGTAATATTTATATTGATAGGCTGCTGAGTCAAGGATAATTAATTATATTAATAGATTAATTACAATAATAAGCATTTGTATGAAACATCTAGGAGGTTTATCTTGGACACTAGTATCACTTCAAGTGAGTCACTCCAGGAAAATGAGGGCCTGAGACCCGAAAGTAAATTTACATTAGCAACTCCATACCATTGAAAGACTGAGAATTGAGGGCAGGAGATGGGTTAGCTCTGGAGTGCAGTACATGCCAGAAGGTTCGCTCCTCCAGCACGCACTGACGCAAATTGTTCCGCAGATTTCAGAAGCTATGGCACATGCTGAGCGCTTTTCACAGGCTGACTGCAGAGGGGCTTTCAGGTCATGTTCACTCTAAAAGCAGAAGTAGCACCAACACAAATTTAAGACCTGCAATGTTCTTTTTCTTGTCATGGCTGGTTAGTTCCAACTACTGCAAGCAAGCATGAAACCAGCCTATGAAGGAACACATGGTCCTGAATGGCTCATCCAAAGCCTGATCCTGGACATCTTCAGCACTTACAACTTCAGTGAAGCCCACAGCACACTTTTCACTACTGTGCTTGCAAATGCTCAGCATCAGCCTGCTAGCTTTATTAATAAATCTTCTCAGAAAGGAGATGGTTTAAGTTACTGGAATTTGGTATTTTGGCTGATGTGTATCACCTGTGTTTTTGGAAAGCTGTGGTGATGGACTCCTCCCTGTGAGGAAATAATCACACACTCAACTCAGAAATAGTTAGAGGTGGGATTTCAAAAGTACTGTGCAGTGACCTAACCCATCTCCCACAAAAATCAACAGTGAAACTCTCAGCAACTTCAAGCCAAACACAGTTTGGCCAGAGTTGGTTACTCCTGAGGATCCCACCCTACCACCTAGTTTTGCTTCTCTTGGTTGAAATAATAATTATAATAATAGGATCATTCATTGCAACCGGATACTTGAAATACAACACCACCACAATATTGTATGAGGCAGGTATTCATACATGATACTCAAGATTTTTTGTGTAGGATATTCCTACATTGATTGCTGGAATTAGATTTTCTTCTTCTTTTTTTTTTTTTTTTAAACATATCAGCAATAGAAAGATATTTAATAGCTGAACCCTGCTGTTTGTGACTCTTTTGGGAAAAAAAAACAACAAACTACCCAGGATCACAGTATTTGCGTATCTGTGCCCCAAGACACTAGTGTCTTTCCTGTGCAATACCCTGCAGGTACCATCAAAGAATTGTCCCAAAGGGACCTTTCAAAGCAGAAGTTTATGCCAAGCAAACAAACAGCTACCTACAACATTTAATATAGGGTACTAGCAGGCAAAAAGACACCTAGCACTTTGTCTGCCATTCTCAAACTGCAAAGCATAAAATTCTAGGTGGCAACAATCACCAGTATAGTGACTACAACAGAGTAAGCAAAATCAAAGACTGTTGAAGCCAGCTTTTTGTGAAAATTTCAACAGGCTTCAAACTGGTCCTTAGTCAGCAGTTTCATTAAATAAACCTGAATCCAGGTGCAGATGACAGTATCCCAGGTTGAACCAAAATCGCACATTAATAGATGGAAAGACAAATACAAATTTTATGTCAACTATATGGAAAGCTTTATTTACATCTTTTTTAATTAAGGACACTTGATTCTCTAAGAATGATAATTTTGTAAAGTTATTCAGTGAAGGAAGGACAGAACAACTCAAAACAGCTATTGTGTCACTTCACCTACACTCATTAAAAATTAGGTGCTACAGAGCAGCTACTCATTTCAAAACATGGTATTTATTTGAAACAAAGGGAAAAGCTTGCAAATCATAACAACTGATGAAAAGAGAAACACAATTTAAAATCCTATACAAAGTAATGCATCCACTTTATTTACTGAATATTCTTGCATATATATTTATTCAAACATTTCTTCAGCTGACAGCTATGTCAGTCATGCTTTATCTCTCCAAACACACTTTTCCTCAGAGTACCCAATTAAAATCTATTGATCCAGCCTTTTTTAATTACACAGAATCTATGTATATTATTAGGTAATATAACATTCCAAACATATGGAATGGGTACAGACACAAGCTCCTAGGGCAGTGAGATGCAGAACACAGCATTTCTTCTCCTCAACTCAATTCACTACTTTCTACTTGTTACTTTGATATAACTGCTCACTTTCCTTTCTCCATCAATCACCTTTACCACCAAACACCCCTACCTTCCAACACACACACACACCAGATCTTTGCTTGTTACTCACATCATGATCTTAACTGATGCCTCCATCAAATTAAAGCACTGCTTCCATTTCTTTTGGTGTATTTAACTTGTTACCATTGTCCAAAAAAAAAAAAAAATCAGTAAAATAAAATATAATTTACTTTGTTTTCTGTTTCAGCAGAGTAACCACCAAAACTAGATTTCTCTCATAGGCCCTGAAACTGAGTGCTGCAGTTAAATCGATACAGTGAGAGCTAACAAAACTAGGGCAAGTATTCAGATTTCAAGATTGTCAAAGTTGAAACAAGGGAGAGTTAAGTAAAATTTCTAAAATTCACTCTTATTTGAGAAACAACAACAACAACACTTGTGCAATTTCATCACAGATTCTGAAATTAATAAGTCAGTTCTGCTGCAGTGAATATCAAGGGATTAAACCAGATTTCAGGTGCATACATACATATGCAGAAGCTTTACACTTTACACAGTTAAAGTTATTAATGGAATTCTGTCAATATTCAAATTTCTAATTATTTTAGAGATTGGTCTACTAAGACTGGAAACTGAACAGTTATGCCACATTTAGAAAAGTCAGTAAGACTAAAGAACAAGACCTTCCCAATGTTATTAGCTTTTAAAAAAGGTTACTAAATCCAGTATTTCATTCAGTGCTCAGGAACATAACAGTCCAGGATGAGGAAAACTCTGTTTCTATTCTACTTAAATAGAATCTTATTTTAAAAACTCCAACTTCATTTTAACCAAACTTGTAAAAATTTTGGGGTTTTTTGATAGAACTTGTAGAATTTTGCAGTAGCAGAATGACATATCTCTAAGTGCCAAACGTCAGCTAATGGGTCAATGACTGAAAACAGGACCTTTGCAGAGCACACTCAAATTCAGTTGTACAATACCAAGAATTATTTTGGTGAAGAGGATAAACTGCAAAAACTACTGTAAGACAAATGCAGCACCTATACAGATGGCTGCTCCTTTGCAATGATCAAGATATTCTGAAGTCATTGAGAATGATAATCAGTTTGATTACATCTTAATTATACTAATAGATGTTTTATATGTACAAGGAAACTGTCCAGTGATTCTTATATAAAATGAGCACTCACAAAACAGCCTGCATGAGAATAAGAAGGACTAAAAATGCTAGTCATTATTTCATGTTCAGTGGGTTTTCCAAGTAATGATTTTACAGACGGTTTTCAGAACATCGTCTCCGCCACTGCTGTACATACATTTCTGAGGTTCTAGTTAGCACTGGAAGCCTGCATCTAGATTAAAAGTTGAGGAGAGGGGGAAGGAGCTTCAAATTACAAAATTTCTGCTCTCCAAGGGCAGAGTGTGGGGGGAAGGGTCCATACAAAAAAAGTTTTAAAAGAGTAGCACTGTATTTTTGGCATTAAACTTCTCTATTTAAATTTATGTAAAGATACCATCAACGATTTCCAAGAAATTTTTTTTTAACATAAAACCCTAAACTTATATTTGTGAACCAAGATGCAAATAGAAAACCTCCAGCACCTGGCAAGTTCTTTCAGGTTAGTCAAAAACCATGTGTTAATTTGAGTCGTCACATCAACAGATGAGGACAGGAGGACTTATTTTTGTTTAGGGGCATTTCAGCAAAAAAGCTAAAGTGGGAAACAGCCAGCACAAAGCTTCCTCAAGCCAAACCAACAAGAGTTTATAAAGGGTTTAGTCCAGTAATGCACTGAACTGAACCTGCTAAACTGAAAACCGTTCAACCGTTTGTTTGTCCTTTCAGTTACTTTCTGTAGCAATCACTATTAGTGCTGATTTTATTAATGACTCATAGAAAATGCATTTGTGTTTCAGCTGAGGACAACCTCTAATTGACTTTAGCGAACAACACACTCAGGCTGGGCTTTGAAAAATATTATGAACAAAATTGCAATTACATTAATAACACCAACAGCAGCAAATGGGATGCTCCTGCAATAGAATTCATATATTTCAGTTGTGCTATCAGGAATAATACAATGTCAGAGTTTTTTTACAACACTGGTTCATAGTTTTCTTAGGAAGTAGTCTCAGTGATACTTCTGAAAAGCTCCTTAAGGCTGGAATCACAAATATAAAATGTCCTGTTAAAACCCTCCTTCTCAATCTCTCCTCTCTGAAATTAAAAGAGACAAATGTTGAAAATATAAGGATTTTATTTTAATTGCACAGAGCTGTGGTTATTATTTCTAATTCTAACCCTAAATTCCAGTTCTAACCTGTCTCATATGAAGGAATGGGTGAAAATACTAATGGGTTTGTATTAAATTGTGGTTTATCTCCTTTACAACACACCACGAGTATTAACAGGACTTCAGCTGAGAGGAAGGACTTTGTTAGTCTGCCTTGACTACATGACTTATTCAAGCTCCCAGGCATGTCAGGGCACATCTGAGCACCACCAATCATACTTGATCCCTGAACCCTCAAGGGGGTCTCTGAGTACTAAAATAAAACAATATATCACAACTGCCTCTTTCTTTAAGGGAATGCTGGAACATGATCACTACACCTCTGGAATACGCTCACATTACTTTATACAAGGGCACATAGTGACAGGACAAAGGGCAATGGCTTCAATCTGAGAGACAGCAAGTTTAGATTAGATACTCAAAATGAATTATTTACAGCGAGGGTGATGAAACACTAGAACAGGATACCCAGAGAAGTCACGGATTCCCCATCCCAGGAAATGTTTAAGGCCAGATTGGATGGTCTAGTGGAAGGTGTTCCTACCCATCCACGGTAGGAGGGTTGGAACTAGATGATCTTTAAGATCCCTTTCAACCCAAACCTATGATTCTGTGATTAGAAGTGTGAGTTAACACATTCCATATCATGTTCTCTGCAGAGGCAGGTCAGAGCACTTGTCCTGTTCTGGTTAACACCATAACCAAGCAGTTAGAAACACCAGAATCCTGCTGGTCTCAACATAGTTCATGCAAACAGCTCACCATTGAAAGCTCCAAGCAGTCCTCATCCTCTCCTCCCTGCCACCTGCCATGAGAGGAACGTGCTTCCCTTGACACAGCTCACATGAGATGAGCAAGTCAATCAGTGAACTAATTTAGTGCATCACCGCAGCAGCCTCTGCCAGGGGTACCCCATCATGAAGGCCTGGCCTGACACACTTTAAAAGCTACTTTGTGGAAGTCTGTTGGTGGCTTCTTAGTGGGCTACTGGGGTAATTGAAAAATTAGTCAGAGCTCCCAACTTCACAAGCAGAATCAATGCCAGACAAGGCATTACTTCAAACTAGAATTGTCTGGTGCCGCTGCACCTGAAAGAAAAATGGTAGCTGTTTTGCTCAGCATGGTCTTCTGAAACATCTCATGAGGCGAAACCCTTAACATGAAAAGACAGTGAAACATCATAAAGGAAAGTTAAGGTTTTTTGTTAGAATAAGTGCTTGTACACTTTCTCTTGAAGTTCGCACGATGGCTGAAAACCAACAGCATTTAACACTGGTAATATACGAGTTTAATGCTATGGATGGAAATGCAACAGTCCAAGTTGACTAAATTATTAATTTGTAGAGCTAGTCTTTATACGACAGCCATGACCTTGCTGTATTAGTACCTCTGATTTTGAAGGCTGTCTTGCCATCCCCCTCTTTAACAGTTCCCGTAAGTGTTTGGAGAGGATCTCAGTGACAACAGAGCCTGCACAGACAACGTGTTGCCCAGTCATACCCAGCAGGACCTTCACTTGCCATGCCATCAAGATGCAATTTTCATATATGAAAGGCCTCCTACAGTTCAAGACTTCTGCATGCTATTCAATATTGCAATAAAGATTTTTTAACAGATTGGTTGTTTTCATTTCCTGAGCAGCATCTCTCCAGAATAAACATACGTTGTTTTATTAAAAAAAAAAACTAAAAAAAAAAAAAAAAAACAAAAAAAAAAAAAAAAAAAAAAAAAACAACAACAAAACAAAAACAACAACAACAACAAAAAACATCTGATTGGTTTCACAGTATTTCTTTTATAGTTAGTTCATGTTAAGTAGTGATATGCCTTTGAGTCCAGACAAATCCCTTCTGGACTACTATCCAGTGTGAGGATAGTCCTCAGAGGGTGAGGGATGAACATCTAGGGCAGCCCTACCTAGAAGGACTTGGGGCTGCTGTGGATAAGAAGCTCAACATGGCCCAGCAACGTGCACTCACAGCTCAGAAAGCCAACATCATCCTGAGCTGCATCCAAAGCAGCGTGGTCACCAGGGCAAGAGAGGGGATTCTGCCCCTTTGCTCTCCTCTGACCCCACCTGCAGTGCTGCACCCAGATCTGGGGCCTCAACACAAGAAGGACATGGATTTGCTGGACTGAGTCCAGAGGAGGGATACTAAAATGTTTAAAGGGACGGAGCACCTCTCCTAGAAGAAAAGGTTGAGAGAATTGGGATTATTCAGCGTGGTAAAGAGAAAGCTTTGGGCTATCCTAATTGTGGCCTTCCAGCCCATGAAGGCAAGTACAAGAAAAATGGAGAAGGACTTTTTACAAGAGCATGTAGTGATAGGACAAGGGAAAAATTACTTCAAACTCAAAGACAGTAGGTTTAGATTAGATGTTAGGAAGAAGTTTTTTTATTCTGAGGGTGAGATACTAACAGGTTGTCCAGAGAAGCTGTGGATGCCCCATCCCTGGAAGTGTCCAGGCTGGATGGGGCTCTGAGCAGCCTGGTGTAGTGGAAGGTGTCCCTGTCCACAGCAGGGGGTTGGAATGAGATGGTTTCTAAATTCCCTTCCAACCCGAGCCATTCTATGAATCTATGACTACAAAACAAATCATTAAAGCAGCTTTCAGCAATGCCAAAGTTATTAGTTGGGGAAATTGGGGGCATAATCCAGGATTTTTTTCTCTTTTTTTAAGCACAGGGTAATTCCTGCTATATACACACATAAAAATATTAAGTCAATCCAGAAAGTGCAGCCACGAGAGAAAGAAGTTTCCCCAAACTTGTGATAGCAGGAAAAAATTAGAAAACTTAAAGGAAGGTCAAAGTTCCCTGGCCAAAGTTAACACATTAAGTACTAACAGCAGATATTATAGGTTTCTATAGTCATAACCTAAGTAGCTGCAAAAATGCAATCCACAAACTGTGCTAACCAGAGTACTTGCATTGTGCCAGAGCTGCCAGTTCAGTTCTTCTAACATTTCCGTTTCTAAAAAAGCACACGTGTAGTCTAAAGATCATGGATAAACATGCAAGATAATCAAGCTCAGCTAAAACTGCCTTAAAACTTTCAACATACAGCCAAGCTTGAAAAATATGAAGCAAGATTCCAGATCTTAATGCAAGCTGGTATGAATCCATTATCTATACTATATAGGTCTTCAGGCTATGACCATTTGATCTTATAAACATTTCTCAGTTTTTGATAGCTGTTCAGTCATTTAGCTCTTCACTTTCTTCCAAATGTCTGGTTTACCAGCCAGTTGTACACTTTATTTTTAATTCATAATCTTGATTCAGCACTTCCTCTTGTGATTTCCCCAGCTGCAAGCTTCTCATCCTTAATACCTCGTAAAACGGGTATATCACAGCATTCAGCAGTGATAAATCTGGTGCAAAGAAGTTACACATCTTCTCCACGACATCCTTATTTTTCTATTTTTCTACTATTCCTCACACTTACTGGTTCTGCTCCAGTTACAGCATCTTCTCATTGCCCATATTCTATTAATGTATTTACTCAGGGAATATGAAAGATTTTTCTAAAAGATCATCACGGAGCTTTTTAACTCTGTTGTTCACTTCCAGTTCAGCTTCTTAGATACTGAATCTTTGAAAATCTATTTCTACTTGGATATAAATTTTAGGATTTGAAAGGAAAAAAAGTATCTACAATTCTTTATAAGACAACCTGGCTGAGAAGTTCTTTATTTCCAATGACACAGTTCATTTAAATTGTGCTGGTTGCATAAGCTGATAGACTGGACAAAAAAGATTATAGAATCATAGATTGTGCCAAGTTGGAAGGGACCTATGAGGATCACTCACTCCAACTCCCAGCCCTGCACAGGACAACCTAAGAGTTACACCATGTGCCCTAAGAGTGTTGTCCAAACACTTCTTGAACTCTGACAGCAGTGCCCACTTCCCTGGGGATCCTGTTCCAGTGCCCAACCACCCTCTCAGTGAAGAATATTTTCTTGATATGCAGCCTAAACCTCCCTTGATTCAACTTCATGCTGTTTCCTCAAATCCTGCCACTGGTCATAAGAGTGAAGAGATCAGTACCTGCACCTCCACTTCCCCTCGTGAGGATGCAGAAGACCACAGTGAGGTCTTCCCTGAGTCTCCTCCAGGCTGAACAGAACAAGTGACTTCAGCTATTCCTCATAAGGCTTTCCCTCAAGGCCCTTCACCATCCTCACAGCCCTTCTTTGGACAGTCTCCAATAGCTCAATGTCTTTTTCATATTGTGGTGCTCAAAACTGTACACAGTAATTCAGTCAGCAACCAGCTCTTTCTGCCTCCCCCATCCCTCCACCCACCTACCATATCAGCACTTATTTAGGTAGTCAGATTCAGGAAAAAAGAGGGGAAAACCACTGCTCTGGAGACAGTATGCACCAGATTAAGACGATATTGTTAATGGCATCAGACTACAAAGTAAAAACAGATAACTGTCCTCTTATGGTGCTCTGGTTAACTCTGCAGAATGAGGGAAGGAAAATCAACGTACTGAACATAAAAACCAAACAAATATTCTGTAGCCACAGAAAACAAAGAAAGAAAACTAACATGCATACAGAGGCAGCACACATGCAAAAAGCTACTCTTCATGCAGTTCCTCATTAACAGAGTGAACAACAGAGAGCTTCTGTGGCAGGGGACAGTACAGGCATGCCCTTATAAATTCTTGTTGATTTAAGATCTACATGACTGTGATCATTATGATGTCTACCAGATGAGTGCAGCATACAGAGCTTCCTGTGACAGAGCAGGAGTCAATCTGACAATGATAATGCTACAAATAAATTAATGCCAAAGGATTCCACAACCACAGGCGACTGGTAATGGGATTCATACATTTACTAGATCAAACCTCTGGTGCAGGTCAAGAGCAGCAGCAAAATTACTGGTAACTGACAAATGTGTGGTGGACTATGAGAAAGAAGCTGCTGGTTTCAGTCCATTTCCTGACTGATGGACAGGTGTCTGCAATGCTCACAACAGTCACTACACCAAGCACCTCAAAGTGTCTCAGACAGACCAAGGACTGTAAAATGCCCTGGTTCTAAAATGCAAGGCTTAAAGACCACATAAACCAGCCTTACTTGAATCAACTTCCATACAAAAATGGAGCATATGAGAAAACACACCTATACCTCTGGAAATATATTCCAGCAATTACTAACCCTCATGGTCAAAGTCTTGCTTACTTCCAGTCTGAACCTGTGACACGTCATTTGCCAGCCACAATGACACGCAGCCTGAATGTGGAATTTCCACATGGGGACCCACAGAATGCCTACCCAGGATGATGCCTCTCTGCAACAGGGTCTGGGCACCTGTTTGACAAGAGGAACTCAGTACCCCTCTCTCTCCCAGAACTCACACCATTCTCTTTCCCACGTTGCGAACAGCAACCACTGTTGCACATAGGAAGCATTCTTCCTTCTACCACCACTTAAACCTGTGGCTGCAGGGAGGAATGATGAAAGGACTAAGAATGCTTGTAAATTCAGCTGCTTGGACATGACTGTCCATCACAACCTACATTTTCCAGAATGAGATGCAGCTGTTTTCAAGCTGCTGCACAATCCACATCAACAGTCTATTTAGCTTGGGCCCACATTCATCTCCATTTAACCACCCCCAGAACAGGGTTAAACACCTCAAAAATCCAGAGACAAACACCTCAATAGACCTGCAACCATTCTTCTGTTAAGGTTAACAAGATTTACATACTTAACTTTGAGCAACTGGAACAAAAATTTTTGTCATCTGTAAGTGCACTGAGGGTGCACTCAATTCCTCTGCCTATGTCATTGATGAAGACATTAAACAGCAGTGGTTCCAACACTCAGGGTGCCCTGAGGGGCACCACCCATGACTAGTTTCCATTTGGACATTGAGCTATTGACCCTCTGGATGTGACCATTAAACCAATTCCTCATCCACCAGACAGTCCAGCCATCACATTCATCTCTCCAATTTAGAGAAGGATGTTGGGGGGGGTACCATGTCAAAGGCCTTAAAGAAGTCCAGATACAAGACAACCTGTTGGATGGATCCTACAGATCCCTGCCAGACATGCTATTATCTAAAGCACCCTTGGGGACATTTCCCCATCTACCTTTCAGTGTCTCATATTCTGAATAGAGATTTTAAAACCTAAACTAGCTGAGAAACAGAATAGAAAAAGCAGGTGGCAAGAAACCTAATTATTCTCCTCTGTTCATGGCTTTTGTGTGGATTTATAAAACATCTGTGAGTGTCCCATGGGCAACCATCCAAAGTGCTCTGGAGGAGCCAACTTGATTCACCAAGACTACTGCCTCTGTGCATCTGTGGGAGCACACATAGTGCTGCTGGACACTGCTCTCACTCATTATGTCTGAAATAAAACACGGGAGCTATAAACATACATCTTAAAACTACAAAATTCTCACCAAAGTGGTTAAGATCTTGTATAATAATGGTGCACTTCGTTGGAACAATAGCCTTAGAATGCTCTCTAAATATATTTCAGTATTGGTTATATTAGAGGAAAAATTTCTTTGAAACAGTTTATACAAAAGGAACTGAAGAGAGATATGGCCAGATAGTTCAGGACAGATTTTGGCAAATTTCTTCCAGTGTAAATCACTTGAAGTCTAACAAACAATTCTATGTCTTGTACTTAATGCAAGCTAGACATGTCAAAACGTGTAAGAAGTCTTCGAATCCAACTAATTTTATACCTACTGTTTCCTGTTATTCCAGCTTGAAAGTACTCATAACTTCCTAAGGTCAAACTTTGATTATGAGCCACCCATGAATCAGACATGCATAAGTGTCTGTAAATAATGTCCAAAACCGAATTTCTATAAGAATACTTTTTTTTTTTAAAAGCATATCTCAGTAGGCACACATAACCTAAACCAATATAATACTTTGTTGTGAAACTGTTCAATCATTTTCTAATAGCTTACTAACTTATGAGGAACTGAAGCAACCTATATCCAAAACCTGCAGTATGTAAGTCACACAGGAAAGCATATTTTTAAAAGGTACTGTAAGCATTTCAAACAACCAAGTAAAAAGTCTGTAACATCACAGAAAGGGGCAATGCCTTGGGTAACTACAGTAGAAAACAGTTTTACAATCTTTAGCAAGTTGGTGTTCACTGCATAGACTGATGTTTGTTTCCATTTCTTCAGTATTGCATTTTTAGCTATGAATGACAAACTCAGATTGGGCATTTTCATTTTCTACCCACCAGTAGTGGGTACAGAATCAATACTTCTGACACACCACTTTAAATGCTGTATTCAGAGGCATTATTGCATCAAAACAGTGATGAAACCTCAAAATCTGTCAAGCGAGATGTGGGTAATTTGTGAATTCTGAGAGCTAAAGTATGCATCCTCATTCTTTGTTCCACAGACAGGCAGAAAAGACCAAATTCTCTTTGATAACTTGCTACTAAAACACTACTGGCTTTTCAATGTCTAAAACCACTTACCTTCCTTAGCGTGCACAGAAAGCTTTGTATAATGAATTATTTGTAGCATTTCCTACAGGTTCCTACATGTCCTACAGGACTAGGGAATACTGGAGATAAAATATTGTTAGTTAAAGACAAAGCCAACTACTGCAAAAGCAAAGGCAGCTTTTTACAGGTGGTCAGCATTCACATAAGTGCATACACATGAAACAGGGAATCTCAGGAAAAAGATAATCCATTATCACTGCAATTGCATGCTTAGAAATCTGAGTAACATCAGATGATTTCTGAACACAAAAGTAATCACGTTCCACAAATGAAATCTGGAGAGAAAGGTCATGAGGGATACATAGGGAAACCATTCCTATTTAATTTCAATGGACATGAGAATCCCCAAGCACAATGTGGACACACAAGCTGTAAACAAACCCACCTACAACCTGGCATAGATGTAAATAACAAAGGAAGAAATCAAACCTAACAGAAGTTTTCTAGGCTCTTGTTCCTAAACAGAAGCATTCAGTTGCAAACAATCACCACGGTAAGACTATGACTGATAATCAAAATTAGCTCAGCTCCCAAACAAATGGAATTTGAAATCTTTATACTATTTTAGGAACTGGGGAGAAGTTTTAAAGGAACTACACTGCATGCAGAGAAAATTGAAGGCACAGTTGGAAGCAGGGGTGGTTAAAGCAAGTCCCTCCTCAACCAGTCACTGCTTGTTCGTGCCACTGTAACTTTTGAGACACTGCTGTGAACCAGATGGGGAAGAGATCTGGGTAAACATAATCCTTCATGTCTTTTGTGGTGGTAACTGGAGGAAGAAATGGTGACCTGGTTATATTTAAACCACAAAAGCTCCCAGTTCTATCTACCATGTAGCCTCACAAACAGATGCACCACCACAGGCAATGTGGTGGAGTGTGGGCCACCAAAAGTGCCACCACTACCACCAGAAGCACTGGCTTGAGGTTGCAGCTGATCTGAACCATAATCAGTCTTACTAGCTTTCTAATCATGAAAAAACAAAACAAAATTCCATTTATTTTAAAGACCAGCACCCTAGAGGCAACGTAACATCTTTACTCAGCACAAATGTTTATCTCTTCAACTAAGAGCACTCTTGAAATTCAGTCGGTTTCAGACTTAACAAGAATCAGGCAAAATACAAGTCAAATGGACAGCATAACAAAGCCAACAGCTAAAGCTCCGCTTCAGCATACTTATAAATTCAAGGTCAACCCAGAGTTCACCATTACCTTGATACTGGGGTTGATTGTGACTACTGGGGACACCCCTTGTTCAGCTTACCTATTGACTTGCCTGGGAGAAGTTGAAATTCTGTATTTTAAGGACTGAAATCACTGGAGACATTTTGCATGAAGAAAAAGAAAAGTAGAGATGCCCAGCAGCTTATGAGGGCTAACATCAACAATTGCCTTACCCAAAATTTTGCCACTTTTCATGAGAAGTGGAATGTAGGGAAGGAATGAACACATTTTAGAGGATAATAGCTCCTGACATAAATAACATAGCAGGATTTTAAGATGTAGCAAAGCCCAGCCTCTCCAAGGTATGCTGATGTAAAGAGGAGAGCATAGCATTCCAGCAAAAGAGACCTGTATCCTGTTTCCAGTTCCTTCCCTGCTCAAGATAACACAGCAAATACAGGTCTTCAGATTAGCTTCCCTCCAGTAAAATGGGAATAATACTTCATGCTAAAGTGGTGGAAACTACACATGCCCCACTATTTTAAATCTATTATGTGGGGATCACTGGTTCCTCCCACACTCCAAGCCTAAATAAGGCTATTTCCCATAAAAAAGGACTGCAAACCCATCTGCCATAAAGATTCAAGGAAGGAGCCCAAGTACAAAGAAGGGCTATTACTAGGGAAGGAATGTTGTTTATGTGATGCTTAAACTCCACACAGAAGGAAACTTACCTTTACTATTAAATTAATAACATAATCCCATTATTGCATTATACAGATTGACAGTGTAGTTCTCTTGCTTTGTCAGTTAGATTTCTTGCTGTTATAACAGCAGCAACAACAAAACCTGTGGCTGGATCTCAAAACTACAGCTTTCAAGAAAATCAGTCTCAAAACACCAATTGCACAGAACAAAAAATTAACCCCCAAGATGACTGTAACAGTCAACTGCAAAGTAAGGATTTACTGTGGAGTCCTCCACAATGCTTACCTCAAGCATAGGGCGGGCACTGTCATGGATAGAAAGAATGTGCGTAATGTTATTCTTACTCAATTGCTCTACATCTCGGGCATCTGTGGTAGAGGGAAAAAAGGAAGATTTTTTTTTAATCTCTTGAAATAGCATTTCCATTGTGCATGTTGAAAAGTTACTTATTGTTGATACATTTCCTTTTGAAGCTGCATAAAGTCAGGCAAAACCTCAAATGCAGCTGTTCTAGAACACCATCATCAGAGTGGGTAGCGGGAAGGCACACTTCTAACTCCAAAACAAATTACATACTATATAAAGACCAAGCTTAAGTGACTCAGGAATATGTTCTCAAGTCAGAAGTTTCATGTATTTTGCATCTGAAATGTAAGTCTGTGCATGCCTGTGTGCAGGTGATGGCCATCTGAACACACACTCAGAGCTGTACAAGAAATATCTGACCTCCTCTCTACCCACAAATCACCCTTCAGGGAATACATTTTCACTTGGGAAACAGACCTTGTGATATCCAGGTCTGAGAAGGGAAGCCAACCATATCACTTGAACTGAGGTCTCAGCAGACAAGCCAAGAGGATAACAAGATTCTTACTTTCTGTGAACTTTCTATGAACTAGTAGAGAAACATGCATTTAGCCAATACAAATGGTAATTTTAAGTCTAAAGAGAACAGGTGATAAAGATATCAAATGTAGGAAAAAGCAAAATGCTACAGCGAGGAAGTACAGTTGTGAAAAGGTGGTTCCTAGACCTGTAACCAAGGGGTTTCAGACATTCAAAACTGGAAAGAAAACTGGGGTGAATGAAAATTTCATGCTAGATATGGCAAAAACATAGGCTTGATTCTATGAGAAAAAAAGGGTAAAATAGACTATCTGTCATCAGTAAGCAACTTTCCCCACACTAAACTATCAGCATGTCAGAAAATGACCTGAAAGAACCCCAATACAGGTAAAAGTTCGTTTGTGCCCATTTAATTCTGACCTTTTTGCTTGAGAATGGCACAGCACATCATGGCAAGTACAGCAGTGGTTTTGTGATGTGAACACCTGCCTTTGAAATCTGCCCATACAATCTGTTCACATTAGCCTGGTTGCACACAAAAAGAGAGCACTGACCACAAAGGTTTCAAACCGGGCTCTCTCTAGGTACAAAAATAATAGCATCACCTGTATGTTCTTTATGTTCATGCAAGAGTTCAATTAGCATCTCTTGTGTCGTGTTATCCACCTACTATAAAGTTTCAATGCCTTTTCTACATCACAAAGAAGAGTTGGCCATTTAATTATACTGCCCCATAGACAAGATCCAAGTGAGCACAGTAACAAGAAATAAAATTTAAACCTAATCCAATTATGAAAGCCTCTCTACAGCTAATAAAATGAAGAAAAGAGTCAAAACTGCAAGGATTTTACTCACTACTGCTCAAGCCTGCATGATTAGCACAGATGCCTAATCCTTCAGTAGAGAATTAACACAAATTCTGTCTGAAACAGAATTAAAGCCTAGCTTCACAGAACAAATAAAATTTTCTAAAATTCTCAGAGCAAACATTTCAAAGAAGAGATGCTAATGCTAATTGCCAGGCGAGGTCCTCTAATCCACCTGACCTTCAAATTTTTTTAACAGTTTGTAGGACAGTCTCAATTCCTTAGGGAATGCCTAAGCAGGCAAGGATTTGGAAGCCCAGAAACCAGTCTAAGTGCTCCTAAAAATCACTGCTTTCTGTCTTACAAAGACTAAGGGCAGACTTCAGAGTCTGCTGGCAGGAACTCATGGTGTTAATGCACACCCAGCACAATGAGACCCCAATCTCTAATTATCAGTATAACCTATGTGCAAAGAAATGTCTTGCCATACAAGGCAAACTGCTTTAAAAGGAGGTATGATCCAAATTAAATGCTGACTGCTTTGAACCAGTTTGAAGGCCTAATGGACATAGTACAACTCAAAGACACTGAAGTACCTCAGTTCTTAGTTAACAGAGACTCAGGCTAAAGGAATTTCAGCAAATCAAAATCATACACTGAGATTTCAGATATTCCTATAAACAAGCTGGAAATGGCCATCCCACACCTACGTCACCAGGTAGCCAGCAGGTCCTTCATACATTTGGGAAATAACTATTCAATTCACTAAAGCAGAGAAGAAAAAGCTTCCCAGCTACTATCTGGATCTAAATTTCAAACAGTTTACAAAGGGGAAATTCCCCTGGTTCCCCAGCACCTGCCTTAAGTCTCTACAGATACTCCAGATAAGGCTATTTAAACAGCAGTACAAATAAGATATCCTGTCACTCACAGTCTCATACCATAAATAACAAAAAAAAAAAAAAATAAAAATCAGAGGTTATGTAAAGAACCACCAAAAACCAAAAGAACCACCATCACCACAGCAATTCTAACTTCTTTGCTGTAGCACAATACTGTACAAGCACATGCAGGCTCACATTTTGAAATCAGTGTGAAACACCCCATTTTCAAATGTTAAGATTAAGCCTAGCTGTCAGAGCCACTCCTGTGCATCCTCTAAAGAGTGCCTCAAATGTGGTATTATTCTTCACAACAGCTAATCTAACGTTCTGTTTCATACAGCAAAATGCTTCTCAATTAATGCAGATGTGGAGTTTTGAGTAAAGCCTTTGGGAAACTCTCTCCTCACACAAAATGACACAACTCACACTGGGGAAGTCTTCCTCTCCCTTCCACATTTAGCCTATTTTTCCTCAGTTTCATACTACGATTCCAAGCTTAACCTCTACTCATGCAGAGCTGCAAATACTTGAACGCAAAAGCAATGTCAAAGTCATCAAAATTGAACCAGGGCCTGTCAGAATTTGTCTCCCTGGAGCTCTGGGAAGCCTTACTGTGTGGCTGGGGAAGCAAATCACCTAGTGCAGAGTGCTTCCATCCCCCATCAGCAAAAGAGAGACACAGTTCCAACCACTGCAGTTAATCAATGACTGAATAATTCCAATAAAACACCAAAAGTGGTGAAGTCTCAAATGTACCTACAACTATTCTCTCTTACTTCAGTATTTTAGTGCCTCCACAGAAATGCAAGGAAGGCGAGGGACAAGGACTTCCTCTCAGACAAGGCAAGTCAGCCCAGAATGTACAACATGTATTAAGTCTCAGTCTGCAGATGTATAGAGACTACCATTTCATCATCATCAGATCTTTATTTTTTTATTATATAAAGCAAATTTTTGTCTACACTTTATTTTCCACCTTGAAGAGAGCGAGATAGAGAGACAACCACCTAAAGAAGAACATCCTCTGTATTGGTTCAGAGCACTAAGAGCTATTACTGAGAATGGTTTCTCATCAGGAGAGCTTTGTTCCTGAATCCAGTTATGTGCAGTTACAGACACACACAAACTGTGTACATGAACAAAAACTCCACCTCTCCTGTCTCCACTTCACGCTTTGTTCTAAAATATATTTTGTCCCATCCTCTCAGAAGGATCTTTTTGGAGAACAAGAAAGGTGGGGAAAAGAGGTCAGTACTCTGTTTAATGGAATACCAATAAATTGTCTTCCTGCAAAAGTTGAACCTGAAGAAGGAAATGGTCCCTCCATCCTCTCCTGTTTTCAGTACCTGATAAAAAGCCTTAGGAAATGGAACTTAAAAAAATACTAAGCAGATGGGAACAGGAATTAACTGACTTTAGAAACACATCAGAACTACTTGGTGGGCATTGCCTTTTTATACACTTAATAATGGGAAGGGTGAAAACTTCCCCAAGACTCTCCAGACCATCCACAGCAACACTGGACTCTTTGGGGGAAATTAAACCTCATATTGTGGCTTTCCCCTTCAAATTAAAAAGCCCCCAAATATTCCATGGAAAAAACCTTGAATGATTACAAACAAGGAAGAACACAAGCTCTTTAATACTCAAGGTAGAAACACTCCTGAGTCTCTGATTTCTGCTACTGCCACACCTCTTGGTTTGGAAGCAAACTGAGCACCCACTAAGAATCTCTCATCAGAAGAAACAGACTTCTTTTTCCATTTGTGCAGAGAATCAGGCTGTCCTGTCAATCCCTCAAGGAACAAAGCAACCATTTTTGTTGTGAGCACAGGTGACTTTCGAGGGACATCAGGTTTCCAGTCAGAAGGCAAGTGGACATGAAGTAAACAATAAATTCTTTGTCTTTCAAGAGGACTGCATTTCATCTGTAAGGCACAAACAAAACAAAACAAATTTTCTCCAAAACTAGAGACAGAAAGAAGAGTTAACTTTCTCTTTCTTATCCCTCATTTTTCCCTCTTAGCCCCCTACTCTCTCTTTTACAAAAAAAATAACCCCTCCTTCATTTTCACAGAAAACTCCCAAGAGTTGTTTCCTTCTAGGCTTTCAGACCAGACTCCGTCTTGTATTTTATATGGACATCTATGGTTCTTCTTGAATTTTTCTGCCCTCTAGCTGTGCAATCTCAAATATGCTCTCTCAGGAGCATACCACTCTTTTCATGTGCTACTGATGAGCTGAATCACGCTTATAGAGCCTGTAGGATAAAAAGCACTTGAACATATGCCAAGATCTGTGCTTATTCAGGAAAGTTTTTCAGAGTCATACTCAAGCTCTGTGGACTCAGTGGATTTCAGGAGATATTTCATCGCTTTCCATAATCAGCACTACATATAACTTTCTACCCTAAACACCCTTAAGGTGGCTATTAAAACCCTTCTCAGTCTATGTGCTTAGAGGTTTGTGCATCAGCAAACGAAACAGAAGCAGCAAGCTCAGCTCCCATTTCTGCCACAGGTTCATTTCACAAGCTGTTTATGGGCCTCAGTTTATCTCCCAGTCAAATGAAGAATTTTCACTGCTCTGTCATAGACTGTATTTAAGTTTACTAGGCCTAAACGTAGAAATATAACTGAATGGTGAATAATAATTCCCCAAGCAGAACAATTGCTGAATACCTTCTCCAGACAGCAGCCCTACAGAATCAGTGTTAACTGATTTTAAATAATTTAACCTCTCA